CGACGCGGCCAAGCACAGGCTGCTGGTGCTGGTCAAGGACAATGGCGAGCCCGCGCTGTCTGCCAGCGTCACGCTGCACGTGCTGCTGGTGGATGGCTTCTCGCAGCCCTACCTGCCGCTGCCGGAAGTGGCGGCCGACCAGGCGCAGGCCGACCCGCTGACCGTGTACCTGGTCATCGCGTTGGCGTCGGTGTCGTCGCTGTTCCTGTTCTCGGTGCTGGCGTTCATCGCGGTGCGGCTGTGCAGGCGGAGCAGGGCCGCCTGGGTGGGTGGCTGTTCGGTGCCTGAGGGCCACCTTCCGGGCCACCTGGTGGACGTCACCGGTACTGGGACCCTGTCCCATAGCTATCAGTATGAGGTGTGTCTGATGGGAGGTACTGGGACAGATGAGTTTAAATTTCTGAAGCCAATTGTTCCCAATCTTCCAATCCATGACACTGGTAGGAATGTAGAGGAAAATGAGAACTTTAGGAATAGCTTTGGATTAAACATCCAATAAAATTTTTATTTTAAACATTTAGTCTTTCATTATTCTTGGCAAACTGGTAATACTTTGCCAATTTATAGTGGATTTCAGTTGTACAGTAGTTGCACGTATTATTCCTGAAGTTCTTGCATTTTGCTTTACAAATCTTTATTAGTTTGTGTGTTTTCTGTTTGCTTGTTTTTTCATTTATTTTGTCAAAAATGGCATATTGGGCTGGCCAGGTCGCTCAGTTGGTTATAAAGTCATCCTGATACATCAAGGTTGCGAGTTCAATTCCTTTTTAGGACTCACACAAGTATCAACCAATGAATGCATAAATAAGTGGAACAACAAATTGACGTTTCTCTCTCAAATCAATTTTAAAAGTTGAAAAATGGCATGTTAAAGAAGTTATTGCTCATTTTTTGTGGTAATAGTATTGTTATGTAAAACAATGTTGTGGATTATTTGGAATTGCAATCTAATGTGTTAAGAGTGAATGCCACAATATATGTAATTTACTTCTAGACATTTCGTTAAAGTGTAGCTAAAGCAAAAATTTTAAATGCTGCTGAATCTGGGTGAAAAGAAATTGGATTTTATCATATTATTCTAGAAAACTTTTCATCATAAACATTAAAAATGTTAACTTACTGTATTCAGTACTAGAGTACCTTTTTGTAAGTTTATAGTAAAGTGTTTTTTTTGAGATTTTACTTTTTGACAAAATAAAAGTGACCACATTGGAAATTATTGATTTCTTAAGTAACTTTTCTTTATTGTTGTTGATGCTGATGCTGATTTGGGAGAAGGGTCTTACAATGTTCTGATACTTTATATCCCTGTTTTGTTTTCTGTAAATATACCCTGTTTGCTAGTTTAAATTTGTATTATTTTATATTGTTTATTACTTAACTAGAATGTAGTCTATGGTATTATCTTGAGTAAATAATCCTCCAGCAGAAAAGTACAGGTGAAAAAATTTCTTAAGAAATTGAAATGAAAATTCACACTGTTAATGAAATAAAGGAGGAAGACTTTGGATGTATAGTACAGTGCCATATACCCATATAATACATAATACCATATTTGTAGAAAATACAAATATATAAATAAACATAATGGAAGGAGAGAAGAAGGAACAGATGTAGGAAAGGAGACATGTGTTTATATGTAGGAGGATTATGGTGCAGTGAGAAGTGAGAACTATACCAATGTCCATGACAGAAATTGTCTCTTCTAAGAGATTGTTTAAATTGATTGCAGCATTATGAAGTTGATTTAGTATTGATCAGTTGCTAAAAATAGATATTATTTCTCTATGCTCTTGAGAAGATCAATCCCCTGAACCCCATGAAACCTAAGAATTTACTTGTAATTTTGAGACATACCAAGTGATACTTTACATTTTTAATTAGGATGGTATAGATTATGTAGACCAACACTTCCACTGAAAATAATGACCTAAAAAGGCACATATATTGTCAGGTCACAGTTACTATTTAAAAGTAACCTGAAGAGATAAATGAGCCCCATGTCCACTTTTTCCCTGGGAACACTTGGAATCCTGGGAAATGTGAACCTCTATTTTGATGGTTTATATAATAAGGGAGAAGCATAACAAATTAAGAAATTTATAGAAGACCCTCACATTAATAAATATAAATCCCTAAGAACCACATCTTAACCAGTAGGTGGGTGATCCTTCGTGTGGAATATCAGCTTTGAACTTGAATTTTGATTTAAGGTGACAGATCCTAATAGAACCAAATGCAGACCTTCTATGAAGAAGGTTTATTCATTCTAAGCCTAGAACTATTATATAAATAATTTTAGTTAACTTTAACACAAAATAACTGCATACACAAAGAAACATGACACTATGAGTGAGAGCCAGCAGGAGGGAAAAAAGAACACAGAAATAAATTTGCAAACACTTCAAATATCTTCATTATCAGACACAGACCATAATATGCTAATCACTCTAATTGAAGTAAAGTTATACTTAAAGATGTACAGAAAATAAATTTGAAAGGTTAGAAGACAACAGAATAGAACTGAAAAATATGATAATCAAAATTTGAAACTGAATAAAAGTCTTAATAGAAAATTAGATATATCCAAATAAAGAATTCATGGAGTAAAAGAAGTCAGAATATAATTTATCCAGCATGCAACTCAGACAGTTAATAAGATGAAAAATACAAAGAAGATGGTTAGAAACATAGGACAGAATAAAAAGGTTTAACATATATTTAACCAGAATTACAGAAGGATCAATTATTTGAAAAAAAAATAATTGCTGGGAATTTCCAGAATTGATGAAAACACCAATTCAGTTTCAAGAGATCCAAATAAACCTAGCAGGATAAATAAAAGATATTCATACCATGCTTGCTTCGGCAGCACATATACTAAAACTGGGACGATACAGAGAAGATTAGCATAGCCCCTGCGCAAGGATGACACGCAAATTCATGAAGCGTTCCATATTTTAAAAAATTCATACCTGGAAACATCATTGTGAAATTTCAGAAAGCCCAAAACAAAGAAATCTTTTTTAAAAAAAGTAAACCACCCCCCAAAAAGTAAAAACCATGGGGAAAAGACATTTAACCTTTAAACACAAGACTATTAGAGTGACAGCTATGTTCCATGTTGACAATTTCTCAACAGTAGCAATGGAAACTAAAAGAAAATAAGATATCTTCAATGTGCTGAAAGAGCCCAGCTGGTGTGGCTCAGTAGTTGAGCGTTGACCCATGAACCAAGAGGTCCCCCATTGATTATGGTCACAGGCCCCAGATGCAGGTTTGATCCCCAGTAGGGGGTGTGCAGGAGGCAGCCTATAGATGTCTTTCTCTCATCAATGTTTCTACCTATCCCTCTTCCCTCCTCTCTCTCTAAAATCAATAAATACATATACAAATGTGTTGAAATAAATTAGCAAACTTTCCTACCTAAATAGTTTTTGCACATAAGAATCATCAAATGAGAGCCCTGGCCGGTTTTGGCTCAGTGGTTTGATTCTTAGTCAAGGGCACAGTCAGGATGCCAAGTGTCTCTATCACATGGATATTTTTCCTCTCTCTCTCCCCTCCCTCCTACTGTCTCTATAAATAAATGTAAAAATATCCTCTAGTGAGGATTAACAACAACAAAAAAGAATCATCAAATGAGAGAATCAAACCAATTGGATATCAGTTTGGTTTTTAAATGAATCAAGATCATAAGAGAGAATTGCTGTAAAGACATTTTACTCTCAAATATACAACTTCTTATAGTTTTCCTCTGTTCATGCCATACCACAATTCTGAATTAAGGAGTTTCTAGCCTTCTTCATCTTTAGTAACATCCACTTCTAGTCTAGTCGAGTCACCTATGAGTATGGCCACTTCCTGGAGATGGTAGTCTCGAAGAACTGAAATCACATAGTCAAACATACTTCTCTTAGCCTACAACTTATATTCTTTCTTGAAGGGCTCCAATCACCATTTATACCAATAAATTCTAAATTTGTCTCTTCAGCCCAAACCTCTTTTCTCACTTGCATTTATATAATGGAAGCTCATTTACATAAATATTTAAATGGATGCTCTATGGATACCTCAAACTCAACATGTTTTAAGTTAAAATTTTCCCTTCCTAAAAAATGAAACATCTTCTCCAGCTCTATACCCATTTTCTCATCTCCCCTTGTTGTATTTACTTTATCAGTTGATAGTGCTATCATTTACTCAGTTCCCTAAGCCTCAGTTCCTTCTTATTCGAGTGCCTCTATATCTAATCTATCACCACATCCAATAGATTTTATCTTGATTATTTTAATTACTGCATTTCTAGTTGAGGCCAATCTCATCTCTTACATGTACTATTGCAACAACTTCTAATCAGTCTCCTGCCTCTAGTCTTACTCCTTTCTAATTTATTCTTAACTCTGAAATAGGATGATCTTTTGAAAAGTAAAAATATGGCCATGTCATTTTTCTATTTAAAACCTTTCATAATCTTGCATTTCCACTGATGTAGAGTTTGAATGGCATGACACAAAATATTTGCTTATCTTTTCAGTCTCAACTCTCACAGTTTCTTTCCTTTTGCTGTATTGCTCAACCTTATTGATCCTACTTCAGTTCTTCCAAAACAAGTCTTTCATTTTGGATATCATGTTTTTCGTTTTCCTGGAAATTTCACCCCACACTGAATTTTGGTTTGGATTCCTCATACTCATCTTTTATGTATCAATTTAGATATCCTTTTTACAGAAAAGTTTTTTCTGTACTTCCAAATTCTGGTTAGATAACCCTCACCTTTGCTCTTATAGTTGCATATACTTTTGCTATCATGCCATTCACTATGTTCTATTTTTAATGTGTGATCACTTCTCTGCCTCCACATTTCAGGACAGAAACTATGTCTGTCTGTTTACTACTCTATTCCTAACATTTATCACCAGGCCTAGCACAAAATATATGATCAATAAATATTTGCTGAACAAATTGTTGAATGGATACTTTTGGAAGACCTGGATCTGCAACATGAAACTCAGTTCCACAACTAAATTGGGGTCTAATTTGTTCAACTTTTTTTAATGTTCAGAAACTAGACATATTTTATTCATTACTGTTGAGTATTTATTTACTTTTTACTGCTTCCAGATAAGTCTCCTATGGAGGATCCCTAAATAAATGGTACCATTTACCGTTTACTTTTTACTGCTGCCAGATAAGTTTCCTATGGAGGATCCCTAAATAAATGGTACCAGTTTCCTATGGAGGATCCCTAAATAAATGGTACCATTTACCAAATCTGAAATGTCAGCCTCCCCAAAACAACTATTTGCATATACCAGGTTCAGTTTCCAGTGAACCTTATTCTTATTGTCTTAGAGTATTTGTTGACAGCTAGGGACAACTAAGACCTCTAGTTTTTCTGGAAACTTCTTGCCCACTAAGTCTATTACATAGAAGAGTCATCCTAACTATTTTTAGTTGTTTTATATATTGTCTTCATAACTTATTTGAAGATGAGAGAGCATAACTTATTTGAAATTGGGGCTGTATCTTCAATATATGTTTTTTATAGCCATGACAGTTCTAGCCAATTGTGGTTTACTGTGTTAAGGAATGAACAGCAACAGCATCACATATCACAAAGAATGTAACTTAGAAAAGAAAATAGGAATTTAGGAGAGAATATAATTTAAATCCATCAATAAACACACAAGGTAGAGCAATCTTCTGTCTCAACTTACTTGATTTTGTTTAAAACCTGAGAATCTGTAGAGTCACTTGGTGGCGCTGCAGGATAAGATAGGGTAATTTTTGTTACATCAGAAGCCATTGGCTTCCATTAACCAGTGGAGCTGAGAGCACTAAAGAAGCAGGAAGGGGAAAAAGAGGCTTTCAAAAGAAAGCTAGGCAGCCAACAAAAGCCTCACAGCGGGATTATAAATCTATAGATTACTAAAGGTCCAGGCTGATTGGGAGGAGCAACTCCTGGAGCTGTTTGAGATTGAGCTGAAACATTTCCAAAGAAAGGCGTTTGGCTAAGGAGCCATGGAGCTGGGAGAGGAGAGCCCTCAGCATGTAAGGCAAGTGCTGCTTTTCTTTGTTTTCCTGGGAGGGTCTTTGGTGTGTTCAGAGACCAGGCGCTATTCTGTGGCAGAGGAAACGGAGACCGGATCCTTTATAGCCAACGTGGTGAAAGACATAGGTTCAGGTGTGGAAGACCTGGCTGCGCGGGGGGCTAGGGTCATCTTTGACGATTATAAATCATACTTGTGGTTGGATCCGCAGACTGGCAACTTGCTTTTAAATGAGGAATTGGACCGGGAGGCACTTTGCGATCTCACGGAGCCATGTATGTTGCATTTCCAGGTGTTACTGGAAAATCCTTTGCAATTTTTTCAGGCTGAGCTTTGGGTTAAAGACATAAATGATCACACTCCCACATTCCTAGATAAAGACATACTTCTGAGAATCTCGGAAGGTACTGCTCCAGGAACCGAATTCCAAATGGAGAGTGCTCAGGATTTGGATGTAGGAAAGAATGGCGTCCAAAACTACACATTAAGTCCCAATCCTCATTTCCACCTCAAAGTACAAGACAGTGATGAGGGCAAGAAATACCCGGAGCTGGTACTGGACCAATCCCTGGATCGAGAAAAGGAGCCCGAGATTAGATTAACGCTAACAGCCTTGGATGGTGGGTCTCCGCCCAGGTCTGGAACTGCAGTGGTTCGTGTTTTGGTTTTAGATATCAATGACAATGCACCGGAGTTTGAAAGGCCTGTCTATGAGGTTCAGGTACCAGAAAACAGCCCTCTGGACTCCTTAGTCATCAAGGTGTCTGCTACAGATTTAGACGCAGGAATAAATGGAGAACTAACTTACTCATTTTCCCACGTCTCCAAAGACACACGGAAAACATTTGAAATCCATCCAACTTCTGGCGAAGTCCACTTAAAAGCGCTTCTGGATTTTGAGTTAGTTCAGTCTTACACAATAAATATTCAGGCCACTGATGGTGGGAGTCTCTCAGGAAAATCAGCAATTTTGGTTCGGGTTGTAGATGTGAATGACAACCCTCCGGAAATAGTCATGACATCTCTTACCAGCCCCATACCAGAAAATTCCTCGCCTGAAATGGTGGTCGCTGTTTTCAGCTTACGAGACCAAGACTCTGGAGATAACGGGAAGATGGTTTGCTCAATTCAGGACAATCTCCCCTTTCTCTTGAAGCCTACTTTTAAGAACTTCTACACCCTGGTAACAGAACGGCCATTGGACCGAGAGACCAGTACCGAGTACAACATCACCATCACGGTCACCGACTTGGGGACCCCCAGGCTGAAAACCCAGCACAACATCACCCTGCTGGTCTCCGACGTCAACGACAACGCCCCCGCCTTCACCCAAACCTCCTACACCCTGTTCCTCCGCGAGAACAACAGCCCCGCCCTGCACATCGGCAGCGTCAGCGCCACAGACAGAGACGCGGGCGCCAACGCCCAGCTCACCTACTCGCTGCTGCCGCCCCACGACCCGCAGCTGCCCCTGGCCTCGCTGGTGTCCATCAACGCGGACAACGGCCACCTGTTCGCCCTGAGGGCGCTGGACTTCGAGGCGCTGCAGGCGTTCGAGTTCCGCGTGGGCGCCACG